ACAGCAGATAGTTCCCTTGCCTACTTTTTGGTTGCTAGGAATCTCCTGTGTCTTGGCCTCCCGCTCTCCCTGACGCCAGACATTGCGTACAGACACAGTACAGTGGTGCCTCTGGTTAGGAACTTAATTCGTTCCAGAGGTCCGTTCTTAACCTGAAACCATTCTTAACCTGAGGCACCACTTTAGCTAATGGGGCCCCCGGCTGCCGCCGCACGATTTCTGTTCTCATCCTGAGGTAAAGTTCTGAACATAGCTGTCAAGTGTCCCTTATTTGAAGGGACAGTCCCTTATTCCAGCGCCATGTCCCGCTACTGTCCCTTATTGATGGATGTCCCTTAAATGTCCCTTAAATGACATCCCTTAAATTTCAAAGGAAGCAGCTCCTCTCCCTCCCTCCCTGCTGGCCAGGGAGGAGGGAGGCTCCAACTGTGTTGCTTGGCTGTGTTGCTCACCCAATAAGAAGTCTAAGAACGACTGGGGGGTGGAGCTTGAATGCCTTGTGTGTGGCTAGTTAATGCAAGCTGAGGGGTTTTTTGAATGCTGGACGCCATTTTGTTGCACGTGCTGGTGCAAAGCCAGGCCGGGGAGCCATCTTTAGTTGAGGCTGCATAGGCCTTGTGGTGCATGTGATTCAGATTCTAGTCAGTTGAACCTCTGGTTACAAAGTTGGTTGGACAGTGTTCTCGAAGCTACCAGCATGAGTTTGACCAGACTGCAGGAGGACAGGAAGACTGGAGTGCCTGGAACAGGTGAGGCTGCAGGTCCCTTATTTTGGCTGCTGGTCCCTTATTTTCAAATCTGTAAGTTGACAGCTATGGTTCTGAACCCGAGGTACTACTTCCGGGTTAGCAGAGTCTGTAGCTTGAAGTGTTTTTGTAACCCGAGGTACCACTGTATACTTAAAGCACATTTTAAATCACCCCTCCCGCAAGAATCCTGGGAAATGTAGTTCACCCACCATGGAGCTACAAATCCCAGCACCCTTAACAAACTACAGTGGTTCCTCTGGTTGCGAACGGGATCCGTTCCGGAGGCCTGTTTGCAACCTGAAAGGAACGCAACCCGTGTCTGCAATTCGCTGCTTCTGCGCATGTGTGTGATGTCATTTTGCGTGTCTGCGCATGTGCGAGTGATGAAACCCAGAAGTAACCCTTTCCGGTACTTAAGGGTCGCCGTGGGACGCAACCTGAAAAAGCTCAACCTGAAGCAAACGTAACATGAGGTATGACTATATAGTTGCCAGAATCTCTGAGGGGCGAAGAGCAATCGCAAAGATGCTGACACTGCACTTCATCCTTTGGTTTGGCATTTTGACTGCAAAGGAAAAAAGAGGGCTGGGATAAAAAAAGAAGGAGATGAAGCCTACTGTCAAAGGGAAACTCTAGGCCGCAATTTGCAAGATCCACATTATTCAATAACTGGCCTGCAAGCGTACGATTTGACAAGGATTGCTGACATAGAAGCAGAAACATGAAATGTGGCTCTAATTTTTCAGCAGGGCCAAATGCAATCGGGCTTCATTTGGCGTTTTGCAAAATGGTGGCTCAAATAATTTTTTTGAGATATCACGTGAGTAATCCTAATGTAATACTCTTAATACTTGTAGTAAGAAATAGAATACCACATTATTTCCTCCCCTTTCCCCCCCTTCAATCCTTCCCTCCACCCCCCACCAGAGACTTCCCTCAGCTCCTCTCTCTGAGGGGAAAAAATAATGTATACAATTATATGGTTTGATATTTTGTTATGTTGAAATTGCTAATAAAAAATATTTATTTAAAAAATAAAAAAATAAAAAGAATATCAGAGTTTCCTGTAATGGTTTGAGTGCTGGACTAGGAAACTAAGGTTCAAGTCCCCAAGCAGTCATGAAGCTTACTGGCTGACCTTGGGCCAGTCCTTTTTCTCAGCCTAACATACCTCACTGGGTTGTTGTGACGATAAAATGAAATTATTATTATTATTATTATTATTATTGTTGTTGTTGTTGTTGTTTATATACCACCCTATACCCGGAGATCTCAGGGCAGTTCACAGAAAAGATCACAACATATATAATCTGCATAGAAACAACAACCCAATAACACCCCCCCCCCGAAAAGAGTGCCACATTTTAACACATCAACCAAAGGCCTGGTTAAAAAGGAACGTTTTTGCCTGGCGCCTAAAGGTGTGTAATGAAGGCGCCAGGCGAACTTCCCTGGGGAGAGAATTCCACAGACGGGGGGTCACTGTTGAGAAGGCCCGTTTTCGTGTTGCCACCCTCCGGACATCTCGATGAGGCATACGAAGAAGGGCCTCAGAAGGTGATCTCAGGGTTCAGGTAGGTTCATATGGAAAGGGGTGGTCCTTGAGGTATTGCAGTCCTGAGCCATTTAAGGCTTTATAGGTCAAAACCAGCACTTTGAATTGGACCGGTAGCCAGTGCAGTTGGACCAGGATGGGTGTAATACAGTGGTACCTTGGGTTACAGATGCTTCAGGTTACAGACGCTTCGGGTTACAGACTCCGCTAACCGAGAAATAGTACCTCAGGTTAAGAACTTTGCTTCAGGATGAGAACAGAAATTGTGTGGTGGCGGTGCGGCGGCAGCAGGAGGCCCCATTAGCTAAAGTGGTACCTCAGGTTAAGAACAGTTTCAGGTTAAGAACAGACCTCCAGAACGAATTAAGTTCTTAACCTGAGGTACCAATATATGCTCAAACCGTCTTGTTCTGGTGAATTCTGCACCAGCTGAAGTTTCCAAACCGTCTTCAGAGGCAGCCCTACGTATAACGCATTGCAGTAATCTAACCTTGAGGTTACCAGAGCATAGACAACAGTAGTTACATTTTCCAAGAATGATCAGTTATAGAAAATAGCTTTTCAGCTTTTCAGATGAAGCCCCCACTACCTAAACGCTATAGCAGATATTCAGTTGTGGAAACCCACTGTGCTCATTGTGCTTTGTGTCCTCTGCGCTAGATGTATCCAGATATTGAAAGTCATAGAGAATCTTTGCTATTTCAAACTCCCAAGCCAACCAGTGCTGGAGGATATGTTGATTTTCAATCAGACCAGTGGCACTAATCTTGACATAGGCATTAATCTATTTGTCAGGAGGATCAATGCAGTCAGAAAGAATGCGCAGCAGCTTCTGTGAACCAGAAACAAGTCTTGTAGGGCTGTTTGTGGATGCTGGCTTCTCTGCGCTGAGGAACATCATGTCACAAGAATATACATTTAGCTAACATGTAGTTTGTGGTCCAACACACACAAAAATAATTATATTGGGTATTAAAGTGGAGTGCTATACAAATATATGTGTTGTGCATGATTGCAGTGTAAATACAGAAAGCAGTTGCATCTTAACGCCATTCAGTTTTGCTCAGCTTTTGAATCCAAACAATGGATTGCAAAAGCAATGCTGGCACCAAGGCTCATGTTTCAATAGCAACGACACCAGCCTTTAAATGCAATTTAAGCTTACCTAGTTACTTGGCACGAACAGCCAAACGGTTCTAAGTGGGGAAATACTCACTTTGGAGCAGAAACACGAATTTTGGGTCGAATCTAGTTCTTATCAGAAGACCCTCACCATCTGGCCTTGTTTGACAATGGCGTCCTTTTTCTCAAATGGTCATTCAGTTGATGCATAGATTTTTATTAAGGTAGCATACCACTTAATTAAATTGTATAGTGTCTGTGAACCCATCCTTGATATCCACGTGGCAGCCCTTTAATAATAATAATAATAATAATAATAATAATAGTAATAATAATTTATTATTTATACCCCGCCCATCTGGCTGGGTTTCCCCAGCCACTCTGGGCGGCTTCCAACAAAACACTAAAATACAATAATCTATTAAACATTAAAAGCTTCCCTAAACAGGGCTGCCTTTAGATGTCTTGTAAAAGTTTGGTAGTTATTTTTCTCTTTGACATCTGGTGGGAGGGCGTTTCACAGGGCGGGTGCCACTACTGAGAAGGCCCTCTGCCTGGTTCCCCGTAACTTGGCTTCTCGCAGCGAGGGAACCGCCAGAAGGCCCTCAGCGCTGGACCTCAGTGTCCGGGCAGAACGATGGAGGTGGAGAAGGTATACTGGACTGAGGCCGTTTAGGGCTTTAAAGGTCAGCACCAACACTCTGAATTGTGCTCAGAAACATACTGGGAGCCAGTGTAGGTCTTTCAAGACCGGTGTTATATGGTCTTGGTGGCCGCTCCCCCCAAAAAGTCTAACAGATTTATAAACCTCTTTTACATAAAAGAGTCTTCGCAACGTGGTTCACAGAAGACACAGCCAAAAAAAATAAATTTAAACTATTTAAAACATCTATTTCACAATTCCACCCAAAACATCAGCATGAAAATAACAACTCAGCAAAACTTGAATGTTCAAAAACCAGACCATAATACTATTTCCATGGCTCAGGTTACCATTAGTCACTGAAGGCACATGGCAAAAGGGAGGCGGGGAGACCCGAAATTAAAGGCCTGTTTAAATGGAATCCCATGCAAATTGTTGAAAATGCAATGTGTTCCACTTTGAAATCAGATGATATGGTTGGCATTTTCATGCGGTGCAGAACCAGACTGTTATTTGTCCTCTAACTGAACTTGGTCTTCTACCATCATAAAGTCCTTGTCTCCATGATTTTTCGTGCAATGGAATGTATGAAAGTAGCCAGGGATCAACTGAATCCTGGGCAGATGCCTCTTATCTCTAGTATAATCCAGATCTTGTTTGCCATTGTGAAGACAATTGAGTAGAAAACGCCAGCTGTAGAGGGCGAAATCTTGAGATAGGTTTATTGCCCATCATACAGAAATGACTATTTATGACGTCCTAGGTGACTGTGGCTGTTGGGGTGTGTCTTCAAGCCTGCTGATCAAGCACAGCACGGAGATCTTTGTGAGCCCCGCATGGTCATTTGAATCATGGAATTGTAGAATTGCAGAGTTGAAAGGGACCCTGAGGATCATCTAGTCTGACCCCCTGCAATGCAGGAATATGCAGCTGTCCCGTACGGGGATTAAACCTGCATCCTGGGTGTTATTAGCGCCACACTCTAACCAACTGAGTCTTAACCATCCTCACCAGATCACTATAGAATAACCTAGGAAAGGGAATGACACACTTCTGATAATGACTGAGTTATGTATAGGCTGCTGATTAGAATCATAAAATCATAGAATTGCAGAGCTGAAAGGAACCCCAAGGGTCATTTAGTCGATATATAACAAAGTTATCCCTAAAAAGAAGACACACAGCTTACGAAGTGACCCAGACAGGAAACTGAAGGTACACAGGGCCTGTGAGCACACCAGACATTTAAAGCTCATGGCTTCCCCCAAATACAGTTGTAGCTTGGTTTTCAAACATCTTAGTTCTCAAACATTTTGGCTCCCGATTGCCGCAAACACGGAAGTGACTGTTCCAGTTTGCGAAATATTTTTGGAAGCTGAACGTCCAACGGGGCTTCTGCAGCTTCATGATTGGCTGCAGGAGCTTCCTGCAGCCAATCAGAAGCCACGCTTTGATTTCCGAACGTTTTGAAAGTCGAACGGACTTCCGGAACGGATTCCGTTTGACTTCCAAGGTACGACTGTAATCCTGGGAACTGTAGTTTGCTAAGGGTGAATTGTAGCTCCATAAGGAGGAATCCGCAGCTCCCTGGATTTTTGGGGGGGAAACCATGTGCTTTAAATGTACATTGTGTCTGCAGCATGGCCTCTTAAAGGGGGGGAAATGCCATGGCCCCCTGACCTCAGATCCCCCCCCCCAAATCTCTTAGGATAAGCAGCTTCCTTTCTGCCTTTTTTTTTACTGTTGATAGCAACTCTCCCAAGCAACTGTTGTCATGGCCGTCCCTCCATGCTGTTTCAGGCATCAGAGAGGGAGAGGGCAAGAGCCACAAAGAGATAAAGAATCACTCGAAGGAAAGCATGCAGGACTGTTAGGAGCCACTTATCCCCCCAACAGTCATTAAGTAAACAAACAAGGCATTCTGGCCAAAGCTCCCTTTGGAGTCGCCGGATTTGCGAATAAGTCCCTGGGCAAATTCCATCCCCGGATTGTCCCCGGATTTCATCTAATGTCCACGGGAAACGCAGCAGTGACAGTCTCAGCAGCCCGGAGCAGTGGCGTAGCGTGGGTTGTCAGCACCCGGGGCAAGGCAAGTAATTTGCGCCCCCTAACCCGTGGATTTGCGCCCCCTAACCCTTGGATTTGCGCCCCCTAACCCTAACCCCCAGATGTTGCGCCCGGTGCGGCCGGCCCCCCCTGCACCCCCCACGCTACGCCACTGGCCTGGAGCAGTTGGCTCTGGCTGGCTTCAGGAGCTGCTCAGAAGTCCCCAAGTGATGGTGGTGCAGGGGCTCTAAGATGCAGCTTCTGGGCTGCCTCCACCTTCCCTGACCTCAGCAACTAAGCTGTGAAGGGAGGCTTCACACTGCCTATCAGAGCTTGCGTGCAAGCAGGAGGGGGCAAGGATCTCTGTTAGGCAACGGGAAGCCCCCCTTCCCAGCTGAGGGATCCCCGCCCCCTCCTGCTTGCACGCAAGTAGGAATGGGATTAGGGCTGCTCCGATGGGAAGGGAGGCATCACACTGCCTGAGCCTTGCCACTGCCACTGCCGCTCTCGGCTCTCCTTCTCCACCTCCACCAGACAGAGGGCCTTCTCAGTAATGGTGCCCACCCTGTGGAACGCCCTCCCTTCAGATGTGAAGGAAATAAGCAGCTATCCTATCTTTAAAAGACATCTGAAGGCAGCCCTGTTTAGGGAAGTTTTTAATATTTATTGCTGTATTGTTTTTAACACTTGATTGGGAGCCACCCAGAGTGGCTGGGGAAACTCAGCCAGATGGGCGGAGTATAAATAATAGATTCTTCTTCTTCTTCTTCTTCTTCTTCTTCTTCTTCTTCTTCCATGCCTGACCCACCGCGCACCACTTCCCTACCACCACAACCACTGAAGAACCAACAATTCAGGGGCTGCCCAGGCTCATGGAGAAAGGAGATGAAGTCTCGGAGGAAGGGGGAAAGCGGCAGTTGAGGTCAAGGCGGTGGCTGCCCCTCTCCCACCACCATCGCTGCAGCATCAATGTCCTGAACGTGTAGTATGTCTGCATGTCTGTATGTCTTTAAAGTGTGCCCGGATTCATTGAAAAAAATCTGGTAACCTTAGCATAGGAACCCTGTAGCTCCGCATCTGTGTTAGGGCAATAGACCATGATGGAAAGGGCAGATGAGCTACCCATTAGAGATCTGGAGGCGATGTCTCCAGTCAGACTTGACTCAGAGCCGGCCCAGTCATTAGGCAAGGTGAGGCTGTTGCCTCAAGTGGCACAAGCCCCTCCAGGCGGCATTCCCTAGATTCCCAGCTTGTTCCACCATCTCTGCCAGTGGCAGAGAAGCACTGCTGCCATTGGTGCGATTTGGGGCAAGATCACATCCATTAGGGGCGAGATCTTGCCCCAAATTGCCATGATCTTGCACTGAAGGCAGCGGCAGACGTGGCAGGGTGTGCGATGGCAGTGGTGATGGCAGAGGCAGGGCAAGGCGGCACGACCCATTTCTCCTCAAGCAGAGAAACGGGATGCGCTGCCCCTGACTTGACTCCACTGTTCTCCCCCCCCCCGACAAATAATCAATGCCTGTATGGCTCCTAGCAGCTATGGCTCAGTGTTAACAGCAAGGACACGAAATTGCAGAGCAGGACACCAGTTTTGTCCTCATCAACTCATCAATGGGACGCGGGTGGCGCTGTGGGTTAAACCACAGACCCTAGGGCTTGCCGATCAGAAGGTCGGCAGTTCGAATCCCCGCGACGGGGTGAGTTCCCGTTGCTCGGTCCCAGCTCCTGCCAACCTAGCAGTTCGAAAGCACGTCAAAGGGCAAGTAGATAAATAGGTACCACTCTGGCGTGAAGGTAAACGGCATTTCCGTGCGCTGCTCTGGTTTGCCAGAAGCGGCTTAGTCATGCTGGCCACATGACCCGGAAGCTGTACGCCGGCTCCCTCGGTCAATAAAGTGAGATGAGCGCCGCAACCCCAGAGTCGGTCACAACTGGACCTAATGGTCAGGGGTCCTTTTACCTTTACCTTATCAACGGGGGTCATGAGCATTAACCGATAATATAACCTGCCACTACATCAGTTAGTGAAGAGATTCAGTAGCCCTCCTGAAGTACTCCTTGGGTGGACAGCAGTCCAAACACGGAAGGAGGAATAGGGCTGTGCTGCTGGACTTGCCCCCTAGATGTAAATGGTGTCTGAGCGGTTAGCAGTGAAGTTAAGGGAGCCGCAAATAAAAGGCAAAAATAAGGACATGGGTAGTGCCAGCAAGCTGTCGCTTTTTAAGTTTGACCAGCTTTCACTGCCCATGCATTAATACCCCTATAGGTTACCTTTCCTCTCTGAGCACTCCCACAGTATGAAAAATATATATTCTGCCATGTACGGTGGTACCTAGGTACTCAAACGCCTTGCTTCCCAAACGCTGAAAACCTGGAAGTAAGTGTTCTGGTTTTTGAATGTTTTTTTGAAGCCAAACACCTGATGCGGCTGTCGGTTATTGTTTCTGGGGCGCCTGCACTAATCAGAAGCTGTGCCTTGGTTTTTGAACATTTCGGAAGTCAAACGGACTTCCAGAACGGATTAAGTTTGGTGCTTTTGTTTTTGAGGCTTTTTCGGTTCATTTGTTTTTGTGACTGTGTGGAATCCAGTTCAGCTACTGATTGATTGATTGTGTGACTGCGGAAATGGATACAAGCCCCCCATCCAAACAATGACTATAATCAGTGCAGGTAAGATTTTTTTTTAAAAATTTTTTTTGATCATCTACAATACTGTCCTATTTATGTACAGTACATTGATTATTGCTTTCATTTTATGTGCTAAGTTTGAGAACAAAGGTACCACTTTATTCTGCAGTGTAAGGATCCCTGAAGTCCACTTGCCAGCAGCAGTTTTTGGGTTGAATGAACTTAGGAGGAGGGGGAAAGGGTATATTAAAACTACCTTCCTCTTTTGAGACTGTGTGACATCTGCCCACCTCCCTCAACAGTGATACATACATCTTTCAGCAACAGCTGCCTCTACAGCAGCATTTCCTCAGGCTTTGTATTCCCAGAACCAGATGAACACAGAGCAACCAGATTTCCCAGCTGTTAGCTCTGGGATGCTGCAATCCCAGGCTCCTTCCCATGTACAGATTCCAAACACCTGCAAGGCGATGCGCGAATCTCAGTCCTAAAAAGACATGGTGATCCATATCCCAGAAAATATTTAATGAAAACACATGTGAGGAACCTATGGCCCTCCGGATGCTACTGGACTGCAACTCCCATCAGCCTCAGGCAGCATGGCCAATGGCTCAAGGATAATGGGAGTTGTCGCGGGTGGTGCTGTGGGTAAAACCTCAGCGCCTAGGACTTGCGGATCGCATGGTCGGCGGTTCGAATCCCCGCGGCGGGGTGAGCTCCCGTCGTTCGGTCCCAGCTCCTGCCCACCTAGCAGTTCGAAAGCACCCTTAAGTGCAAGTAGATAAATAGGTACCGCTTTATAGCGGGAAGGTAAACGGCGTTTCCGTGTGCTGCTCTTGTGCCGGTTCGCCAGAGCAGCTTCGTCATGCTGGCCACGTGACACGGAAGTGTCTCCGGACAGCGCTGGCTCCCGGCCTCTAGAGTGAGATGAGCGCACAACCCTAGAGTCTGTCAAGACTGGCCCGTACGGGCAGGGGTACCTTTACCTTTTAACACCTACAGGGCCACAGGACCCCCACTCCTGCATTAAAGCCTACCAGTGCATTTAGATCAGTGTTGGGTCTCCAGCTGTTTTTGGACTACAGCTCCCATCATCCCTAGCTAGCAGGACCAGTGGTGAGGGATGATGGGAATTGTAGTCCCCAAAAAACAGCTGGAGACCCACATTTGGAAAACACTGATTTGGCAAGTAAAGGCTTGCCAAATATGGTCTGTGTGTGTGTGTGTGTGTGTGTGTGTGTGTGTGTGTAATTCTTATTAAATTTTCTGTTTTACAATTTAAAATACAGTCATACCTCGGGTTGAAGTTGCTTCAGGTTGAGCGCT